ATAGATAGATAGATAGATAGATAGATAGATAGATAGATAGATAGATAAACCCAATACAGAAGCCTGATGATGGCAGATGAGATTCTGCCAAAACGTTGCTACAACTTTAAAAGCACAACTATAATGACGTGGGGAAATACCCATACAAAGCTGAATACCATACCTATATACATATATATACATACATACATACATACATACATACATACATACATACATAAAATATATGATTAGGTTGGATTGGATTGGAATGGAATAGGAATAGGAATAGAATATAGAATAGAAGTAGAATACAGGTAGAATATAGTATAGAACAGGGGTCCCCAAACTTGGCCACTTTAAGACTTGTAGACTTCAACTCCCAGAATTCTCTCAGAATAGCTGGCTGGAATAGCTGGCTGGAGAATTCTGGGAGTTGAAATCCACAAGTCTTAAAGTGGCCAAGTTTGGAGACCTCTGGTATAGAATGTAGAATGTAGAAAATAGAATAGAATATAGAATAGAACAGAACAGAATAGAATATAGAATAGATTAGAATATAGTATAGAAAATAGAATGGAATAGAATAGTATATACAGTACAATAGAATAGTACTGTATATATAGAACAGAACAGAATATAGTAGCTTTAGTTGGCCAATTTTTTTTAGACAGACAAGGAATTTAGTGCAGAAGCTTTCAATGTACATGCAAACAGAGAAAACAATAACAACAATAACAATACAAAAAGTATGCAACCAGGAGAAGGGGGAAATAAGAGGTAATCAAAGGATAAGTAACCCTACCGCCATCCTATCCTACGGGTTAATAACGTCCCAGTTTACACACCAAGGCTTCCCCACAGCCCGCACAAACCTGCAAAACGAGAGGTTTTTGCCCCAAAAAAGAACACCCCCCCAATTTTAAAACTCCAACCCATCAGCCGGCGTTCAGCGGGTCACGTGGCAACCTCCGCCTTCCATTTTGGTAGTTTTTTTTCCGCCGGCCACTCGGCTTCCGGTCCCGAAGGGGGCGTGGCAGAACCTGGAGAGCAGCAGCAGCAGCAGCAGACTGGTTTGCATGGCCGGTTGGCAGGAGCCGATGGTCCTCGTAGGCCTCGCATGGCGTCGGCGAAGGTACCCTCCCCATGGTGCAGGCAACCCCGGGAAAGGGGCAAAGAGGGGGGTCCCTTACTCCCTTTACTTGCATTCCTGCCAGGGAAGAGCCCTGATTAAAATTGGGGGGCCAAAAGGGTTGGGGGTGGCTTGCTTTCTTGCAAATTTGCAAGTTTGCCATTTGCAGCAAAAATATAAAAAAAATAGAATAGTATATACAGTACAATAGAATAGTACTGTATATAGAACAGAACAGAATATAGTAGCTTTATTTGGCCAAATTTGATTAGACAGGCAAGGAATTTAGTGCAGAAGCTTTCAATGTACATGCAAACAGAGAAAAACAATAACAACAATAACAATACAAAAAAGAAGTTGCATTGTGCGGCTTGCATTTGCACGCCCTCGATGCAATGGGAAGATCGAACCATGTCATCCAAGATTTTGTATTATTATTATTATTATTATTATTACGGCGAGTTGCACAGTCAGCCAGATGTTTGGCTGGAGTTTGCACATTCGGCCACCTGTGGAGCCCTTCCCAAAGATTTGTGAGAAGCAGATGTTGTGTAATGTTTATATTTCTTAAAGGCTGGTGGCAGGACGGCAGCTGTTGCAAGCTAAGGTGCCTTTTGCAATTGACGGAGGGGGATTTTGTCAATGCCCATGGTATCCTATTACGCCAAGTCGGTTAGATAGTTAGAACCAGATTTGGCATTTTTATCCATTCATCCAGCCCTTCCCAATAACCAGGTGTTTTAATAACAGATGTTTAATAAATCTCCTCCCAGGCTGGCAGCTGTTCCAACTCAAGCTGCTTTCTTCAATTGATTAGGCTGATGAGCAGGTCACAAAAAGGGGATCCCACGACCCATGGGACACTGCGAAATAGGAGTCCATTGCCAAGCATCTCTGGATCACATGGCTGCGACGGTCGTAAGGGTGGAAAAACGGTCCTAAAAGTCACTTTTTGCAATCACGTCACTTAATGGACCGCCGTAAGTCGAGGGCTTGTATTTTATTGCAATTCTCTCTCCTCCGACGGCCAGGTTCCTTCCCATGCAATCCCTGAGCAACGGCTGCAACAGGCTCGCACTTTTAAGGAGGAAGGGAACCACTGCTACAAAGAAGGACGTTTTAGGGATGCCGTGAGCCGTTACCATTGGGCCTTGCTGCAAATTAAGGGCCTGGACCCCAACATGCCTTTCCCCCTGCAGGAATTCATGGCCGACAAGCCGGCCATGACAGCAGACCAAGAGAAAGAACTCTACACCATCCGGTGTGATTGCTACAATAATCTTGCCGGTAAGCCAGCTTGCTGATATTTTTCCCCCACCCCTCTAGTCGGTAAACTTATCAGCCAGAGATAGAGGAATTCCTTGAGTTATGACCACCAGGGGGGCCTCAAATTCCTGTCGCGATATTGGCGAAGTGAGTTTGGCCTCATGTTAACGACCTTGTCAATCCATAAAACA